AGTGGTGAATTCCCATATCAAACAACAGAGTGAGCTCAAATAAATAACCTAATGATACACATCAAGGTCCTAAGGAAACAGCAACAGTCCAAAGCCAAAACTAGTAGAAACAAGGAAATTATGAAGATCAAAGATGAAATTGAGACTAAAATGAAAAATACAAAGAATAAACTAATTGAAGAGTTGGTTCTTTGAAAGATCAAGAAAAATAGACAAATCTTTAGCCAATCTTACCAACAAAAAGACCCAAATCCATGCAATTAGAAATGAAAAAGATGAAATCACAATGCATTCTGCTGAAATCCAGATCATCAGTAAATACTTTGAGAACCTGTACACAAATAAAGTGGAAAATTCAGGTGAAATGGATAAATTATTAGATATATATGACCTGTCAAAACTGCACCAAGAAGATACAAGAATTCTGAATAATACAATATTACTCAATGAAGTTAAACAAGTAATTTTTTAGAACTATCAAATAAGAAAAACTCAAATCCCAATTGATTCACTGCCAAATTCAAGAACTTTAGAGAAGATCTAATATCAATACTCCTCAAACTCTTTAATAAATTGAAACAGAAACAGTACTCCCAAAGTCAACCCTGAAAGCAAGCATTATCCTGATTCTAAAATCAGAAAAGGATCCAATCAAAAATGAAAACTATAAGTGAATCTCCTTAATGAACATAAATGCCAGAATCCTCAATAAGATAGTTGCAAACAGAATGCAGCAAACCATCAAAAACATCATGTACACCATGATCAAGTAGCATTCATATCACAGATACAAGAATGGTTCTACATCACCAAATCAATAATTTAAGTGTAACAACCATATAAAAAGAACAAATCACATGATCATCTCAATAGATGCACATAAAACTTGACAAGATCCAACATACATTCATGATTTAAAAAAAAAAACTCTGAAGAAAATACATATAGAAAATACATATAGAAGGTCTTTATCTGAAATTGGTAAAAACCATCTATCACAAGCCAACTGCCAATATCATACTAAATGCAGAGAAGCCAAAAACTTTCCTCTAACATCAGAAACAAGATAAGGATATTTGCTGTCACCACTTCTGTTCAATATATTTCTCAAAACATTAGCCAGAGCAATTAGACAACAAAAGGAAATAAAAAGGATATGGATAGGAAAGAAATTAAATTACCATTATTTGCAGATGACATGATACTCTGCATTGAAGATCTAAAAAACTCCACTAAAAAGTTCCTAGATTTAATAACCAAATTCAGTAATGTAGCAAGATATAAAGACAACATTCAAAAATAAATAGCATTCCTGTACACCTGTATAACAAACTTACTGAGAAAAAAATTGGGGAAACAACACCTTTCATAACCACATCAAGAGAAATTAAGTATTTAAGAATTAACCTAACCAAGGAAGTAAAAGATCTCTGCTATGAAAACTACAGTACTCTGAAAAAGAAAGATCAGAGAGGATATCCGAAAATGGAAAGATATCCCTTGTTCCGGGACAGACAAAACCAACATAGTAAAAATAGCCATACTTCTAAAACTGTTACACAGATTTAATGTAATCCCAGTCAAAATGCCAATGGCATTCCTCACAGAACTAGAGAAAGAAATCCTAAAGTTTATATGGAACCAGAAGAGACTGAGAACTGCAAAAGCAAATCTGGGCAACAAGGGGGCATTACCATCCCAGGTTTTAAATTATACTATGAAGTTACAATGATAAAAACAGCAGAGTTCTGGCCAAAAAAAAAAAAAAAAAAGACTTGTGAAAAAGAATAGAGGATGCAGAAACAACTCCCCACACACTCAGCTACCTTACCTTTGACAAGGGAGCCAAACACTTTTGCTGGAGGAAAAATAGCCTCTTTAACAAATGGTGCTGGCAAAACTGGCTATCTGCATGCTGAAGATTGATCCTAGATTCATATTTTTCACCATGTACTAAACTAAAATCAAAATGTATAAAGATCTAAATATTAAAACAGAAACATTTAATCTACTAGAAGACAAAGTAGGTAAAACTCTTGAAGACATAGGTGTAGACAAAGACTTTCTGAACAGAACCCCAATTACAAAAGAAATAATATCAAGAATCCACAAATGAGATCACCTAAAATTAAAAAGCTTCTGCACATCAAAGGAAACCACCAACAGAGTAAGAGATGATCTACAGAACAGGAAAAAATTTTTTTCACTTGTTGGGGACCAGGTTGGGTAAGGGTTAAGTTGCTGACCACAGTGCTCTCTGTGGAAAGCTCACATTCACATCCTGTGAAGGCAACATCAGACCCACAGCTGAGGACACTACTCCCTTAGAATTCAGAGGGCCTAACTGCTAACTTTAGGGATAAGACAGTTCTCTCAGTTAGCAAGATTTACTGGGATGTCTTTTTTCTAACTTCTCAAGGCCTTGCTCATTTTCATGGGCTTTTTGGCCTCAGATGTGCCCTCCACTTTCCTACCCTCCCCCCTTATTTGTTAAGGACCTAATAAATACTGACAGTCCGGAGAAGTCTTTGTCTTAGCTCCAAGAGAGCTCTGACATTCCTGGATCACTACAAACCATATTACATTGTCTCTTTTATCCTTTTCTGTAAGTTCATCCATCAGATTGGGAGCCTGATCAGCTCCCAATACTGAGGAGTAGCTGCTGAGGACAAAGGACTAATATCTAGAATATGTAAAGAACTCAAAAAGTTAGACACTCCAAACTTAAAGACCCAATCAAAAAATGAACATCTGAAATGAATAGCCACTTCTCAAATGAAGAAGTATAAATGGCCAACTCAATACATGAAAAATGTTCAACATTGCTAGTCATTCAAGAAGTGCAAATTAAAACAACACTGAGATTCCATCTCCCTAGCCAGAAAGAATGGCTATCATTACAAAATCAACCAGTAACATGCTGGCAAGGCTGTGGGAGGGAAAGGAACACTTCTTCATTGTAGGTGGGAGTATAAACTGGTACAACCACTATAGAGATCAGTATGGAGATTGCTCAAAAAACTAACAATATAAATTCCACTTGACCCAGCTATTCCCCTTTCTAGGTTTCTTCCCAAGAGGTAACATCATCATACCACAGTGATGTATGCATACCCATGTTTATAGTAGCACAATTCATTAGAGCTAAATCTTGGAACCAGCCTACATGTCCATCAACAACAGATGAATGGATAGAGAAAATTTATTTATGCAATAGAGTACTACTCTACCCTAAAGAAGGACAAACATGAGTCATTTTTAGAAAAATGAATGTATCTTGAGACCATAATGTTAAGTGAAGTAAATCAGAGACATAAGTTTAAATATCACATGGTTTCTTATAGGAGAAATTTCTCCAATAGGAGAAATTTAATATATAAATAAAGCACAAACTAAAAGTCAGGCAAGAAGACAAAAGGGAGAAAAGCTATTGTAATCTAGTGTGAACAATGTATATGAAAGCATATCTTGACTTTGTATATTGTCTTATGTGTTTTATATGGTTTATGGCCTGTTAGTCCAGCTGTTAAACTGTATGTATGATAATTAACTATATGAAGACTTCTGAGATAAACAGATTAATCTGATGCTGGCAAAAGGTGAGAGGTAGAGAAAAAAGGGGGAAAAAGGGTTCAGGTGTGTTATGTACATGTAATAATTCCCCATAATGAATGTATTCATTATACAGTGTAAACATTTACTAACAATTTTTTTTAAATAAAGATTACAAGAATTTGAAAAGAGACATTACAAATATATTCATACAAAGCAATGGCAATGACCAAGACCTCCATTTGCTTCTCTATTGAGAAACTGTGAGCTCTGGTTTCCTTAGTACAGAAACATCTATTGACCTATTTCATCACAGAAAATGATTTCCCTGAATATTTACCTGCAAAAACAACCATAAAAGCATTTACCAAGATTTATACAACAACAGGTACACCTCAAATGAAATGCAAACTCTTGCTCTACATTTTATTACCACTTAAAAGTCAATTATCATTTTACACTACAAATGAAATCAGTGAGAAGTCAGGGTTTTAGCAATCATCTTACACAATTCTAGCTCTTAGGTCACTCAGAGAGACCTCTCAAGCTGCTCAAACCCAGCAGACAACACTATAAGAACAATAGTTCTAAATGATTAAGGCGGCAAGCAATAATTTTTCCTCCATGAATCTGTGCCACTAGAGAAAAGTATTATTTAAAAACTTAAACTGGTTCCTACATTAGGGAGCACTGGGCAATGGAAGGATATGGAAATTATTATCATATTATTCTATCCCTAAAGGGAGCTGGGATTACTGTTACCTTTATCTGCTTGTACAAAAGCTGAATGAGGACAGCTACTGCCTTGAGTTCCTTGACTTACCAGCTCACACCCTGCTAATCCCTCCTACGTTTTGCAAGACGTTTCTGTTTGAAGTACCATATTAACCATGCCAGCCCTCACTCAGAATTCCCAGTGACCTGGAGTTCTAAAGAGTCAAAGCCAAAAAGTCTTATCTGGAACAAATCCCTATTCCTTCATTCAAGCTTTTCTGGGGACCTGAAAGACCAGCAAGGGAGTTTTTATTATTCTAGTGTAGCTAAAGAGTCAAATAAATTACCTTGACCCTATGCTTCAATTTGCCTAAAATATCCTACTTTGTGCCTATTCTCACAGCTAACAGCATCCCCTCCCTTTGATTCTCAAAAGTATTCTGGTTTGGACAATAAATTTTCTTATCTATATTTATAGGCATTATGGTGCCATGTCTACAACCAACATAAACATCTTTAACCAAAAGATATAGATGCCACAAAGAATCTCTCATCTATCTTATCACAGTCTTCTAAACTCCTCCTCCACCCAGCAGTGCATAATAAGCTGAGAACAATGAGGCATACTGTCTAGCTTGACAAAGTAAATCCACTAGTTACTGCCAACTTGAAGCTTTCTCCTGCGGTTGCTTCCCATTTTTTCCTTGGGCACTTACTTGTTCCATCTTGTGATTCTCCATCCACAATACAGAAAGAGTTAGACCTTCCTTACATCTGGATGCCTGGGCTGCCTTCTACACGTCCACATTCACAAGTTCAGCATCTAACAGCCCAGCGATATCCAGCCCTATGTATGAGACAGGAGAGAGATACAGGCTTTTTACCGGACACAGAGAAGAGACCATTACCAGAAGACAGTAATAAACAGATTTTTTAAAATTATACACTAGATGGTACAACCACACTTAATCCTGGAACACTTACAACTCCAAATCCTTGATGTTTAAATGGAGAATGTACATTATTGCCCTTATCTATTCCTATTGAACTTGCTTTAACAAAAAGGTATTTTGACCTAGAGTTAGATTCCCTCTATTCTGAAAAGATCTAGAAAATAAAACTTCATAATCCTCTTACATTACAGCCACTAATATTTTATGTATTCCTTTCCAGTATTTGTGATCTGCAAAACATTTTCACAGTCTGCATCATAGTATACACATAATTTTGTATCAAGTTTTCACAAAACCTCTTTTCCCAGGTATTGGATTTGCCCATTATAATTACAGACATAGTCTAATGTTTTTATTGATACATTATAATTTAACAAATTATTTTCCTAGTTTTAATATTTAATTTCCTTCTGTTAGCAGTACAAGCCATTTTGCCACATACTGGGAAGAGTAAAGTGAAAAAAATAAAAATATTTTTGCTAAATAAAGATATTGGACTTTATTTAAAAACCTAATTTGAATTACTGAGCTACATTTGAATAGGTCTGGCACCATCTTCACATATTAGTCACAAAGTTGAGGAAAATAAAGAGGCTGGCAAAGGAGAGATAAAAGACAAGAAAAAGGAGGAAGGAAAAAGAGAGAAGGATAGGAGAGACAGCAGGGACCAAAGGGATAGGGAAGAACTTACAATTACAAGGATAAATTGATGGTCTTAGTTCTGTTCTGACATTTGCTTCATGTAAATGATAGAAATACCATACCAATTCATTTGAATACATGTGGAGTCTCTGTGAATTATAATAAATGTCAGCATCATTCTAACAATAAAAACAAAAGCTATCCATAATTCAGATGTGACCCTTTCCCTATGATCTGCTTTGTCGTGTAAGATATCCATTGCCTGGCTTTTCAGGTCCTGGGTGCTCCAGCCCATTTTCCTCCACATAAAACTTCACTATCCTAGGACTCCTTCCTGGGATAGGAGCACAGAGGACATGCACTTTGCACCATGGCGGGATAGTTTATATCAGAACAGACTTCTCACAGCTAAAAAATTATAATCTCCAGGCAAAATTTTTTAAGTAAAAACCAACTGAAGGCATTAGAGAATAACTGAAAGTATACATTAATTAGAGAGCAGCAGATCCTTAAAAAGGGCGGGAGGATTGATTGGGTAAGATCATTTTTATAGCTTTTTTCTTGCAAAAGAAGACCAGTCTGAGGGATGCTCCAAAGCCAGAATCCAAGCAGAGCTGCAGTCCTCATTGCTGGACAGAGTTCAGGGCCCCGGAATGGCTGGAGATTAAAAGAACAAAACTTCTGGGCATGTTAGGCAAGCCTGAAGTCCCAGCTACTCAGGAAGCTGACATAGGAGGATCACAAGCTCAAGGCCAGCCTGGGCAACTCAGAGTGACACTGTCTCAAAATAAAAAGGGTCAGTGGAGGGAGTATGACTCAGTGCTAGAGTGCTTGTCTAGCATGCAGGAGCCCCTACTCAATCTACAGTACTGTAAGTTAGAAAGAGGGGAGTGAGGAAGAGGAAAAAAACAAAAAGAGAAGAAAACAGAAGCAGAGAAGCGAAAAGAAAAATGCAGGGGCTGGGAATATAGTTCAGAGGTAAAATACATGCTTAGGCTCTGGGGCTCCAGCAGAAGGAAGGAACACAGGGAAGGAGGGAGGGAAGGAAGGAAGGAAAGAAGGAAGGAAGGAAGGAAGGAAGGAAGGAAGGAAGGAAGGAAGGAAGGAAGGAAGGAAGGGAAGAAGGAAGGAAGAGGGGAGGAAGCAAGGGAGGGAGGAGGGGAGAAGAGGGGAAGAAGGAAAGGAGGATATCCAGAAAAAGAAGGAGCCACAAGAAGAACCTTCCAACAACAACAAAAAAAACATATGTAGAGAGAGTGGGGGAGAGCCAAAAAAGTGTGTCTACACCTCAGGAAAAGAAAAACTTGCATAAATATTTTAATACTAAATTTATTGAGCCCTTCCCAGTACCAAAATAAATAAATAAATGTATTGACCCATCATGAGATTAATACAACTTACCTTTGCCCTCTAGAAGACATGCTCAAAGAGGTGCTCAGAGTGGCAGCCATCAGCTTCCAGGCATTAGTGCAGAGGGGTAACCTTGGTCACTGAGATCGCTGCACTTGCATCTTCAGTTTCGTCTCTAAGGGCCAGCAGTGTAGTGGGTTTTCTGCTGTATACATCTTCTCCCGTGCCCCATATGAAGGTAACACCATCTGTTTAAAAAACATACTATTTTTCTTTTCCTGAAGTGTGTATACATTTTTTGGCAGAATTTGTATAATTCCTCTCAAATTTTTCGCTGGCTTTTATACTACATTGGCACAAGAAGACAGCAAGGATCCCAGCAGAAAGCAAGAGCTGCAAGGCTAAAAGAGATGAGTCAAAATATCTGGTGCTGCCCACTGCAGAGGTGGAAGAGTTGGAGGTCAGAGTGTTTCACATTGGAGAGTTTTGGTAAAGATCTTAGATTTCCACTGAAACTCCAGAAGGTTACAGTTCACAGTTACAGTAGATGTCTCTGAATTGAAGGATTGTTACCGTTTGTGTCTGAATGTCCCCCCAAAGCCTCATGCAGTCATGGGGCAGGCTTCTAGAGTTAGGATTGATTCATGGTCCAATGTTGGAATTATGGACGTGAGTGCTACACTTGCTCCAGGGCAGGTAGTTTGCATACAGTGTAAGGGAGGAAAAGAGGCTTGCTCTTCCAGCTGCCCTCCTCCCTTTTGCTTCTGTTGCTTTTGCTGTGTTCTGCCACCATGAACTGCTGCCGTCTGCCATGTGCCACTCTGCCTTGGAGTCAGCCGAGTATGAACTGAAACCTCCACAAACAGTGAGCTAAATAAACCTTTCCTTCCTTAATTTTGGGCATCAGGTATTTTGTCAGCAAGGAGAGAAAAGTAACAAAGACAAGGATGAACACTAGGACCACTAAGAGCAAAATCAATAGACCCACCTTAATCAAACCACACTTCCATGAGCTCAAAAGGATTCAACGGTAACTTATTTGATTAACGAAACAAAAACTGATACTCTTTAATGCAAGAGAAAAGCATCCAGAATGGTGTGTCATGCGTAATGTTCAGTACATAATAAATGTACACATCACACAGGAAAATGTGACCCACTGTTAAAAAAAAAAAAAAAGACAATCAGGGGCTGGGGATTTAGCTCAGCGGCAAAAGCGCCTGCCTGGCATGCGCAAGGTCATGAGTTCGGTTCCCGGTACCGGAGAAAAACCAAAAAAAAAAAAAAAAGACAATCAAAAATTGATTCTTAGATGAACTGAAGTTTGAAATTAGCAAAAACTCTAAATATTTTCAGGGAAAATATTATCCAGCTAACTGTACAGAGAAATAGGAAATATATAAAGAAACTGAAGGGAAACACTGGAACTAAAAGAACAAAAGAAAATAGCTTAAATCTAAAAATTCACTGAAAATATGGAAAAACAGACTAAAGACTGTAGAAGAAAGCCAGTGAACTTAAGGCTGTAACAAAAATCATAATCAAATTATAATAAAAATATGAACACTAAAGGTAAGACAAACCGCTTCAGTGGCTTGAGTGGCAATCTTATATAACACATAACTGGAGTTCTACATGGATAACAGAGGGAAAAACAAAAAAAATGTAAAAAAAAATCAGTACAAAATTTCCAAATATGGTGAAAAACATTGACTTACTGTTCCAGAGTTTATTCCAAGCAGGATAAGTAAAAACAAAGCCATATCTACAAATATCATAAACCATTTAAAATCAAAAGTAAAAAGAAAAATCTTAATAGTATTGAGAGGGAAAGGAAGAAAAACACTTTCCATATAGGGTAACCATAATGAAAATGAAGACCGAGTTCTCATTAGTAATGGTAAAGCATCAAAGATAGTAGAGTATTTATTTAATTGCAAAATAAAGGGGAAAAAAATAAAACAATTCTCTATCAAGTGAAAATATTCTTCAACACTGAAAACATGGTAACAGTAGTCACTGGCAGAATCCTGAATTGTAAGAAGGATTTATTTTGCCATTTACAGTTGATGAAGATGTCCATAGAATAGTAATGATCTTTCCAATTTGCTCTAATACCAAACATTTACCAAGAAAACAAGCTATTAAACAGACACCAACATTTGCTTGGTTATCAAGTTGTTTGTGTACCTATTGTGAGATCCAGATGCCGAAATCCAGATTTCAATAGTGGAATGTTTGCAAAGAAAACTTACTTCTCTAAACTCCAGGGTTCAGCCCAGTGTGGGTGCACATCTGTAATCCTAGCACTCCGAAGGCTGAGGCAGGAGGATCACTGCAAGTTCAAGGCCAGCCTGGACTACAAAGTGAGTTCAAGGCCAGCCTGAACTGCATAGTGAAACCTTGTCTCAAAAAAAAAAAAAAAAAAAAAAAGAACCTCCACTGTTCATGAGTAACTAGAAGAAATACTAGCTTTAGAACTTGATAGTGAAAGAAGTTGTGTTTTTAAGGGACTTGGTTTAAGAATTTGTGAATTAGCTGATGATTTAAGATTTGTCTTTTTACTTATACTATATATAAATTTACTGGTTGTAAATTTAAAATTAATTTTAATTTAATATCAGTGCCATAGATATTTTTACACATCAGACAAAATTGACCAGATACAATAAAGAAATATAAAGCAAAAGAAATACTATAGGAAATTATTTGGGCTGAAGAAAAATGAAAGAAAATAGAAAATCAGACCCATAGGAATAAACAGCACCAAGAAAGATAAATATGAAAATTACTATAAATGATTTTTCCTCTAATTTATTTCAAAGGCACATGTCAAGTTAAAACAAATAAAAACAGCATAGTACAGTGGGTTTTAAAACAAAAATAAATATAAATTATAAGACATATGTGACAAAGTTTAGGATAAATGAAACTATACTACTGTCAAGAGGTTTTGTATTTTTCCAAGAATAGTACAATATTCACTTCAAGTAAACTGTTGGTAAGTTAACACTTGTACATTGGAACATCTGGAACAGCTACTAAAATACATGAACCACAGCTAAAAAGGCAGCAGAAGAAGTAAAAAGTGAAATTAAAATGGACATCTGACTGGCCTAAAAGAAGACAAGAATGGAAGGAGAGAAATAAATGCAACAGAAAAAGGAAAAGAAATAATAGCTCTGCTTCCAATCATTGTCAACAGTTTAATGGTGGATTGCATCCAACCACATCAATCATTTCACCGACAGTAAGAGAAGGAAGTCTCCAGTCTGACATGGAGAAAGCTTAGAGTTATCAAGGAAGTCTGTCCTCATAATAAGAAAAACATAAAGATGAAAAACAACTCCTCCTAGATTCATCAGAGAACTGAGATCCCAGGACAAACTGCTGCCCCCCAAACCAGGAGAGACCAGATACAGCCAGCACCCCTGCAAACGCTCTGAGCAATGTTTGACAAAATGATGGAGGTTCAAGTGGAAAAACTTAAGAATTTAAAACTTCAAAGAGCTGAAGTGCTAATAGACCCCACACTGGATGTAAATCTTACCTCCACAACCCGTATCAGGATCTCAGGGTAAAGGGCTGAGAAAAATCTTGTGCCTCAGGCAGTGGGAGGGGGAAGGTCATCATTTTGAAGTAAGGCCTAGAGCTCTAGTTCTCCCAAACAAGGCTGGTCGTCCAGGGAATCTATTTCACCAGAGTGTAACTGGAGTTTGAGCAAAGCTAGGCTGATCTAGGGGAAGAGAAATAACCAGCTTCAGCCCCCTGTAGCCTTTCATATGAGGGCAGGAGACTTCCAACTCAAGCTCCTCAAAAGGCTGAGATTTGATAGTAGGATCGCAGAATGTGTTCCTCCTCCAGTTTCTTCCCATCGCACTGGCAGGGTGCCTGTGTAATAAGAGGAGTTCAAGCTAGGAAAAGTGTAAGCCTTGTACCTTAACTAAGACTTGCTGGGCATCAAAAAACAATAGGGGAAATAAAACAATAGGGGAGACAAAAGCAACTAAAGGAACTTTAAACCTCTGACACCAGAGCCACAACAAATAGTCAACACTAGGCAGAATAGTTTCCTAGCCAGAAACACACAGGCCTGGTACTGACGGCCTTTCTACTGTGCATCAGTTCATTTTACCCAGTATGTCATATCTAGCTTCCAACTAAAAACTACAAAGTAAACTGAAAAGGTAAAAACACACACAGTCTGAAAAGGTAAAGAAAGCATCAGAACCAGATTCAGATATGGCAGAGATTTTGGAATTGTCAGACCAGGAACTTAAAATAACTATGATTAATATTCTAAGGCTATAGTGGAAAAGTAAACAACATTCGTGAACAGTTGGATAAGAGGAAACAATGGAATCTCTCAGAAGGAATCAGAAGGAAATGCTGGAAATAAATGTAAGTGCATGAAGTATTTAAATTAAAAGGCAAAAACTGGCAAGTTGGATTGTTTAAAAAGATTCACAGAAGAGTCTGATACCATTTTTGATGAAAAATAATGTGAAAGTATGACACAGTTGTTTCGCCACTGGCAGCCCTCACCACTCTCTGCTCTCTTCTGAACCCACACCAAGGAAAGGCCGCACTCCTTCCTTTGGAGTGGTGACAACTTCAGTCTAAACAAGCTCTCGCCCAGGTACAGGGACTTCAAGCCACTCTACCACTGGTCACAACAAAAGCCAAGTCAGACTCTTTTTTGCTTTGTTTTCTTATTTTCTTGTTCTCACGCCATTTTCAGCGCAGCTTGGGTGCCACACTGCTCTCCCCAGAAAACCTCGCTCTGTTAGTAATAAGCCTTTTCATACCTTGCTGAGGCAGGTGTGGTGTCACCGGTTTCAACATCCAGATTTACATGGTGGTTGGGGTGATCCATCCCATCCACAACGGGTGACCATAAAACCTACTCTCTGATGTCTACGGGAGATGCACCTGCAGAGGAGTACTTAACAAGGAGCATCACAAGAGAAAAGGGATATTTTGTAGTGGTAAGAGGATGCATTCATCGGGAAGGCGGGAATACTAATGTGCATGCATCTAATAACAGGACCTAACATAAATTCGGATAAAACTATCAGGAATCATAAAAAGGAATCAGATCCCCAGACAAAAGCATCAAGGTAATTTAATGAGAAAGCAGCAGTCATTTCAGTAAATGGGTTGGGACAACTATATGTCTAAGTGGTGGGGACATGAACCCCAAGCCCCATCTTACATCATAACAAAATGAATTTTAGAGAAGTCACAG